AAAAAAAAAAAAAAAAAAAAAAGAGAGAGAGAAGAAATTATCAGCTTCTATGTATAAATATATACTATATTTTTCTTTTATGACATTTTTTTTCAGAATAAAAATTAATTAAATGGACATATAGATTATTTTTGACACAAAGTATATGTTAGGCAAAAATGGCGGAATTTCAATTATATGTATCTATTTGAAGTTTTAAGTGAAATACCACTAATTGAATGAATTTTGAGTAAGAAAACAAACTTGAGCGATTTTCTAGGTAAAGAACTCTTAGTTGAGTGACTTTGAATTTATAAAAGAAAGTTGAACGACTTTCTGTACAAAGAGCTATTAGTTAAGTGATCATCTGAGATATTAACTCAAAGATTTATGCAATGTGAACTTGCAACTTACTCGTATAAACCAATGTGTAGCTAGTCAATTCAAGATGAATTTTTAACACACAAAAAAAATAGTTTAAAATTGAAAAAAGAAGAAGAAATAGAATGCTAAAACCAAAAGAAAAAAAATAGTAGAAATGATTTGCTCACCAAAAATGACAATAAATAAATAAATATAGTAAATAGAAACAAATATTGTTAGAAAGCTATCTCCTTTTCAACAAAAAATAATAAACTTCCATCCGGATATTCCGGCCAATTATTCTCATTTTTTGAATTTTGAAATCAACCACTACAAAATTTCATGTAGTGACAAAATATGGAACTTACTTTTAACACATAATTTGAGGAAATTATTTGTCCATCATTTCATCTTACCGTCTAGTTTTACTTGTCTAGTATTGACTTCATACACTCTTTTAAAAAATAATAAATAAAAAGGAAAAAGTTTTAATATACCCTTCAACGTTGTCATTTAAAGTTGATATACCCTCGTTATAAAAGGGACTCACATATACCCGCCATAACAAGGGGTATATCAATTTTACGATATCATTCTTTGAAAATAATAAATTCATTTTTTAGGAAAATACATTGGAAAATGACTACAATTAATAATAAGAGTAAATTAGGTTCTAAGTGATAAATTCTCTCGTAACTTTCTAAACTAGACAAGTAAACACCAACAGCTATTTTAGTTTCGAATAAGTAAAAGTGGACAGAGGGAGTACAAAATAGAGTCATTGTTTTTTTCAGAAAAAAGACAAGAAGTATCATTGACATTTATGTCCCAACTAACAATAGTTTATAAATTCTTTTGGATGGAAATGCACATTGAAAAATGAACATAAATTTTTTTAAAATAAAAATAGGAGGGAAACAAGTGATTAATCATTTGCACAAATAATTAATACTAATAAAACAAGTTTTTATAGTATTAATAATTACACTTACCAACATTAAAATCAACCTCGAAAATTAGTTCAATGCAATCTTTAAGTCACATCATGCTTGTAACTTTACAAACAAATATTCCCTTTTGTTCTATCTCTCTCTCTATTCTCTATCTATTCTCTATCTTAAAACTTCCAACCATTTTTATGACGGTCGATGCAATTGTTAATAGTCCCTTTTACCTTCTTGTACTCTTGTAGTAAACTCTGATGAATTTCCAAGTTTGCTCATAACAACATTCTTGAAATTGATACTGATTTTTTCTTGTGCTTGTGAACATGATCTTTGCATTTTAGCACCACTTAATGAAACCCTAGATTCCATCATTTCATTTAATGACATTTTTTTCACCTTAGGACCTAACTCTGGCCTTTGTTTTGGTGCACTATGAGATCTTAATTTAGCCTTAAATGATTGTGTTTTAGCCATGTAATTAGGATAATAATTATTATTAGTGTCATAATAATTATTCCTAAAATAATGACTTTCAACACAAACACTTTTGGCTGTTGGTGTATTAGATCCACAAGAATTTGCAAACCTTGGTGTACTTTGGGCTGTTCCTACTGGTTGTTGGGCCCAATCTGAGGCCCATGAAGGTAGCACTTGTTCAAATGGATCATCACATGGATTAGAAGCCCAAGTGTTTGTTCTTCTGGATCTTGTTTTGGGCCTTCCAGTATCCATTTCTACAATTTTAGCACTTTCTTCATTTATGTTGTTAGCCTCAAATGATGATGATAGCCTTCTACTAGGCATTTGTTTTGTACTTCCACTTCTTGATTCTTCAAACTTTTCCTATAAATCAATGAAAAGAAAGTTGAAAAGTAAGAGACGGATCTAGGACGAGTTCTCTGTGAAGATGCAGATTTAGAATTTAAACATGACACACTCAACATTGAAGGTATTAGCATCGAAGTTGTTTTATTTTGAAAATTGTGGTACATAACATGATACTCGTTGAAATTTTAATAGATTTTCACTATTTATATCTATGTCCAGTATCGAAAATGAAAAATAAAAAAACATTCACTAGCCATTTTCAGCCCTATCTTTGAAAAATAGCCACTATGATGAAATTTCAAATTGCACAAGTGAAACTCTATGATAATGTCTTGAAGTTTCACTCGTTGAACTTGACAGTCAATGAGAATGACTATTTTTCAATTACAAGGACTAAAAAGTATGTAAACGAGAGTTTTTTACTCTGAAAATGCTAATTCAGTTGAACCTATAATATACGAGCTTCGTCCTCATCATCATTTGTATGATTTATCATTTTGGTTCTAACTATGTTTAAAGAAAATGACAGTCAAATGCACAAAGCAACACATAGTTCTGAAAAGGGTCGCATCCCAAGGAGTGAAAACCTAATGCAAGCACTAATGACTACTTCTATGATTCAAACACGTGGCATATAACTCACACGAAGACAACTTTCACAGTTGTTCCAAAACTCTACTCCGAGAAAAATCGAAAATATATACATATAACAAGATCATAGAGGAGTCTAGATTAGGGATCTTACAAGTGATTTTCTTGGTTGAAATTGAGAATTTTGCTGATTAATGAAGAAGCCTCCTTTGTTTTTTTGGGCACGAACACTTGCTTGTGCTCTCATTAAAGCTTGCATACTATAAAGTGTAGCATTAGCTTGTCTTCTTACCAAATAACCCCTAACCAATGCTTGTAATTTTACTAATCCTTTTAATGCCCTCAATGCCTTTCTTGCCTGTTATTAACATTTCAACAACAACAACAACAACAAAAAAAATATATGTAAATTTTTTAAGAGTTTTAACTTCTATATATTAACCGATCAATAAACATGTACATATCATCAAAAATATAATTATAAAATAATTGTTTGTCCATAAGTTATTAGCAACTTGAAAAATAAAATAGATTACCTGCTACAACAGGAGGGCGAATGAATCATATATATATATATTTGAAGTTAAAATTCGAAAAGAATATTTGAAAGTTAGTGTCATGTTTTAAGATAAAAATGAATTACTATAATTTTGTGAGAAATAAAAAACTTGAAAAACCTCTAAAAATGATTTTTGGAACTTCAAATTATATACTTTAAAGTTTTGAAGTTGAAATAAATTGTCAAGCTGATAAACAAATATTTCAATGATATAAAGAGTCAAGTAAATATTGACCATAGATATTGAAAATTTATCTTTATACATTTGTTTGACAGTAAATTTTGATTAGATTTAAAAAAATTAATCTTCAAATATTTTCAAAAACGGTTTCACTAACAAAATTTTAATTTTTTTATAAAATAAAATGTACATTCAAACATAATTTCAAAAACTCAATTTTTTAAGTTTTGAGTTTCAACTTTATGACCAAACCGAACCTTAATTCATTTAAAATCTTTAAAATACAAGTGGTACTTTATTAAAGAGTTGCATTAAATAAAAAGTTAAATTCAATGAACAAATGATTAAGCAATTATTATTATGAAGATTTAGTGAATTTACCAAAAAACCACGAAACACCGTTTGAATTTTGGTTGCAGCCAATTTTTCACGGCCAAACACGGCGGAGCTTCTGCCTTGGCTAGTCAATCTCACAACCGCCACCGCCGCATGTGCCGCGGGGGACGG